TGAAGCACTGTTTGCAAACCGTATGCGAATAACTGCATAACGGTGTAAACTATACAGAGCCTAAGTAGTATTGGCACAAACTACACTGCAAAACAATAATAAACTACCCTTCTCAGCCTTGGAGCTTTCCAAATGGCAGTATTATGAAATAGGAACTAGTACCGCATTAGCATTTTTTTTAAAAAATTGTCACACTAAAAACTAAATCAGAAAGCTATTCGATTAAATAAGTGGTGCATATTCTGGCTACAGTAAAAATCCTATGTTTTCTCTTTTGTTTTCCAGACCATGCAGTTAGTTCTCTGTGTGTTTTTTACATCTTTGAGTTCCTTCTTTCATTTTGGAACCATTTTTCTCTTGACTGGTTCTTCATAGTTTCTAGTATAATTTTCTCTCTCTTCATTACGATTAGGAGGGGAGCAAATTTGGATAGGGTCACAGTTTATAGACAGAAAAGAGTCCACCCACCCCCAACTCAGATTCCTCAATTGAAAATGCCTCACCACCCAGCTGCTACTCTATGGGGAAAAAAGTTTCCACTGAAATTGCCATTTTAGTTGGAAGAAAGCTTTGACTCTTTCCCCCATCAATATTTTTGTATTTTGAGTTCCTTCTGTGAAATCTTCTAATTTTTCTTTGAGCATGGAATTGTAGATTGTGTGATTTTGGCTATACAAGAGTTGGCATTCACTCTGAAACTTCATCACTGGAGAAAAGAGTGCAAAATGTAAGGTCATGAATGTAAAAAGCTGCTTTATAGAAGGTAGTATATTTTGTCCACTTAGCTAGTCATGTTTGTTCTTGATCAGCCATGGCTTCTGCTCAGCAAAAGCTCCAGACCAGCATCTTCCAGAGACACCATGTATGACTTTCTGCCTGTAAAATGTGTTCTTCCATTGAGTTATAGATACTATATACCTATATATTTCCACACATACAAAAAAGAGGAATTCTTTTCCATGCTTACATTAGTAATTTCACAATTTTTCTAACGTAGGCAAAAAAGGATCATAATTAATCTTTTCTGCATCTGTGGAAATTATATAGCAACATTAAATTTCTCAATAAATATTAGTCCCTTTCCCCACTATGAATAGGGACGCAAGATGGTATGATTCTAAAATAACAACTTTGTTTCTGGGTGGTATTGCCTCTGGCTGTTGTTCAGTAGGCAGGAATGAAGGAAAAAGAAATGTGTGCCTGCTCAGAAGGGCCTTTGCTGTAAAAGCTACAAGTCATGGATTAGTAACAGACACAAGGAAAAGGAAACTAGAAATGTATATCAAGGGATTTTCTAAAAATATTAGAATGTACTTGTTAGATTAATAACATGGCATGCAGTTTCTTTCCTACTTATTCTTTACTCCAAAGTTAACAAACATGGCCCAGATCCAGGCCTGAACCCCCATTTGTGTAACGAAGAGTCTTAGTTGTTTCTTTTCCAACTGCTTCCCCTATGAAATATGGCACTCCTCTGGAGCAGCAGTTTAAGAGAGAGAGAGAGAGAGAGAGAGAGAGAGAGAGAGAGAGAGAGACTCTATTGTGCCACTGGAAAGGTTTTTTAAAAAAACTTTTTTAAAAACTTCAAATGGCACGAGTTTAAAAAAAAAACTTGCAAATTTCAGGAAAGACATGATAAGAAAGGAGAGGATTAAACCTGCATGTTAAATGGAGAACAATAAAAGATTATCTAACCCACAGTCTGACTTTAAATTTTGCACCCGGCTAGATAATTCCTATGATAATTCCTACACTAAGAACAAGCTCCAACAAATGTCACAATAGGACTTTTTGAATGGTGTCCACTGGTGTACTTACTTGCCTTCTTGCTTTGCTTTAAAATGTTTAAACTGAGTCAAATGGGAATGGCTGATATCTAGAAAGTAGTTGCAGACATATAAATGGGAAATGAACAGGGCCATATAATCAACTTTTGAGGTTTTCCTTTTCTGTTGCAGGTAAGAGTATGAGATAAATCATTATGGGGCTGCTCAGGCTTTCTATTCCCAGCAGAATCTGTCTTAAAATACCCAAACACTTTCATTCTGAAACTAGATGTGGCTCAACTTATAGCATCATGGTCTTCCATCATCTGACATTTTTCCAGTCAGTTTTTTGTTCACCATATATGAAAATATATTTGACTGCTGTTCTCATTGTGGTATATCTCCTTCTACTTTTCTGCCACCATCGCAGTCATTTTTGGAGGATGAACAACAAAACCTTAATATAGTGAACTGGCTATTTGGAAAGTAAGGTTATACCTTCACTTGGAAGAATATTGCCAGTGAGTGGAAATGTCTTCATGCAGCAAGGGTAGCTCATGTATATACAAAATAAAGGGCAATGTGTACCCCCAACCAGGGGTGGGATTCTACCGGTTCAGACCGGTTCCATAGAACCGGTTATTATGATTCTGCACAATTTGGAGAACCAGCAAATCGTGCCCGTGGCTGGCCCCGTCCCTCCCTTCCCAGTCAGTCCTTAGCGCGCATGTGCAACATCACTGATGGTGTTCTCCCCTGCCCAGTCACTCCTTAAGGTATTTTTCCCCCTCCCAATGATCAGCTGTTCCAATGATCAGCTGTTGCAGGATCCCACTTGCTGTCTTACTGCTTCACCCAGGAGGCTTCCCTGAGGCCCAGGATGCAAAACGGGGCACCAGGGTGGGTGGAGGTGCTGCAAAAAACAACAACAATGAAGCCACGCCCACCCAGTCACATTGCCACGCCCACCTAGCCACATCCACAGAACCGGTTGTTAAAAATTGTGAATCCCACCCCTGCCCCCAACTCTATCAAGCCCCTCCCCTTAATATTTCTCTTGGCTCCAGTCTTTAAAACTCTTTTGACATTGCCAAGGAGAATTTGTTCAATCAGGCATGGTGAATGATGGACGGCTGCTATGCTTTTCAATACTGGCCTTGCCCACATATGGTGGTGTTGCTGGTGTACAGCTTTTAAGCTGCTAAAAAGTATTTGGATGGCCAGTTTAGAAGCAGAATGCTGGAAGGAGGCAATGGACTTGGCTAAGGTTATAAACTGTAAGCAGGAAAAAAAGGGAGCCACATTCAGGGTCCCTAGTTTGTTAGTGAACATGAATAAATCCACCACCAATTAATGCAGCTGAGATATAAATGTATCCGTCTCCTCCTTAAAAAGTATTCATTTCCTCCCAAAGAAGAGAGAATGAGATGCAAGGCCATATTTTCACATGAGAGGGTGGTTCGGCAGCTGGTATCCTCTGCATAAACAGAGACAGTCACTGCTGGGTGAAGAAGCTAATAATCAGGACACAGGCCATGGAGTAAGAAACTTGTCTAGATGACATTTCTTAACTAACCATTATCAAATGTAGATTTAAGTGAAAAGTGTACCTGTAAACCTGCGTTAAATATACTACAATAGTCTTTGGCAATGATTTTGAGAAAGATTTTTTAATCGACACCTGAGTAGGTCATTGGCAATTTACACAATAGGTAAATTGAAGCAATTTATTCTAAAAGTTTTGCAATAATGGTAGCTCGGGTATAGGATGACGGCAAGGGTTCATTCTCTGAGCTTGGTTTCCCCTAAGCTCTGCTGAAGATATTATCTAGCCTGGTAATGAGATGTTCAGAAGCCAATCCACAAGTTTGGAGAACAACTCTGACCTTACTCCAAAAGTCTTCCAATAGTACCATTTGACTTAGAGTTTAAGAATAATTTATTTCAGTTACCAGATTTTTAATTCCATTCTAAGCTTTTACTGTAGGTACTGTTTGCTAAGTTTGTATGTATTGCACCTGCATTTAATATGTCCACCTATCCTGTCGTTTTGTTCCTCACCCCACCCCAATATCAGGCCAGAGCAGAAATAGTATTGCCATTCTTTAAAAGGTAGGAAGGAAAAAAGAAACGTCAAATGTTCCCTTCCCTTAGTCTGCTCTTGCTTATTAATGCTTCAGCCTTCACCCTCTTAACATCTTTAAGTCCGCTAGGTATTTTCACTTTTATAAAGTGCTTCCAATTTTATATACAGATTCAGATCCTGATTTTAAAATCTTAAACTAAGCTGTGTAACCATTATAGACAGTTATATAAAGACATATATAAATAAGCATGGAAAGGAAAGTGTGAGTGAATGAAAGTAGGAGAACACAGTATCATAGCTCATGGCCCTTTATCCCCAGTCAGTGCGTAGGCAACATTCCAACAACACATGATTTTAGTACATTGTATGATAATAAATATTGCTATTTTTCATGACTTTCCCCCTTATGGCCATATTTTCTGAATATAATCTATATCCTCTAAATTTGACTTTTAGCCACTGACTTCAAGTGAAGGGACATGTTTCCAGCCATCTTTGCTTCACTTCCAGTACATAAATCAGTTTGGATAAACTTCATATTCTTCAAGGCAAGCACAAAAATGCCATATGTAGTCTTCTGCCTAAGTGTGTGCATATGAAAGTCACTGCATGTAAAGCAAGGCAGGCAGAGAGTTCTTGGGTTCCTCTAGTGGTGTTAAATTATAGCTCCCGGGAGCTCCAGTCAGCGAGTTCAGTGGTGAGGAGTGCGTAAGTTCTGTTTCAGCAGCTTTTGAGGGCCAGTGGTTCTCCATCACCAATAAAAGCATGTTAAAACACAACAACTGTGAGGCAGCTGAGAAAAAGGCTAGTTGCTACTAGTGAATGTGTCAAATTGACAGCTTTCATTGATAAGTCCCCCTTCAAATCCTGTAACAGTGAGAGGTGTAAATACGAGCATGCGGTGGATGCAGACATGATCTTAACAGACTAGCAAGCAGCCTTTGAATGCAGAGAGCTATGACCCCTGTTGATGTCAGGCACTATTCCTTGCAGGTTTTTTTTTTAATGTAGAATGATTTGCTGTTTTTGTGGGGGGTGGGAAAAAGTGGGTTTGTTTTTTCTCCTCCTTATTTACATTCTATCATCACGCTTAAGAAAGAACTGGATATTTACAGAATTTTTCCCCCATCTTTTGTTGCAATTTTTAGGTGCTTCAGAGCTGAGCCCATTTTCAGATCCCAGGCAGTTTACAAGCATTTCATCCCTCACTGAGAGCCGCTTCTCCAACCCACGAATGCACTATCCAGCCACCTTCACTTATACACCGCCAGTCACTTCAGGCATGTCATTGGGTATGTCAGCCACCACTCATTACCACACCTACTTACCGCCACCTTATCCAGGCTCTTCCCAAAACCAAAGTGGACCATTCCAGACCAGCAGTACTCCATATCTCTACTATGGCACATCATCAGGATCATACCAGTTCCCCATGGTGCCGGGGGGAGACCGTTCCCCCTCCAGAATGCTTCCTCCCTGTACTACCACATCCAACGGCAGCACATTATTAAACCCTAACTTGCCTACCCAGAATGATGGTGTGGAGGCTGATGGAAGCCACAGCAGCTCCCCAACAGTCTTGAATTCTAGTGGCAGAATGGATGAGTCTGTCTGGAGGCCTTACTGAAATTTTCTCTGCGGGGCGTAAAATCTATCAGACAGAAAGCAAACCAATAAAAAACGATTGTCCGCTGATTATAAAGTGCCTGGTTTTTGTTTTTTGTTTTTGAAATAGATTCTGTTGATATGTGCAACTGAGTAGCTGGGATGTTAACAGCTAATTATATGCATATGACATGAGACTGACTTTCCATATCATAATTCCAGTCAATGTGGATCAAAGCACAGTTTGTTTTCCTCCTGGGAATGTTATCTCAGTTTTATATTTTAAAATATAATGATCCAGCCCCAAAAGATGCCCATTCTGTCTAGACTCCTTTAAAAAAAAAAAGCGAGTTCTTTTGCCAAGAGAGGAGACATGGACTCCTGCCAAGACAACGCCTGTGCTTTATTTGTTGTTCAAATAAACAGAAGCATCTTGAACTTCAGGTACGGTTGCAGCCATACAATCTCTAGGACCCTCATGCATGCACAGTATAATTCACTCCGTGTGTTTGTGCACACAGAAAAAAAAAAGCTTCCATTTATACCAGAATATCTTCAGCTTACAGTAACTCCTCAGCCATCTTATCAAAGCCTTGCCTCTGATGAAAGAGAAAACTTTTGAAGTACTTGGCTTTCTTCTACTTTTGCTGAAATAGCACCCCATAAGGTTCCAAGACAAACTTGTTTGTTTTGTGTTATACATTTTTGTGATTACCTTTGCCTTAGTCAAGTTAACCAAAAAAAATCTTGGGGAAAAATGTCCCCCATACAAAACAAAACAGAACAAAAAAACCAAATTCTAATTTCTTATGCAAGGAAAAAAAAGAAAAGAATGGCAATATATCGTACTCAAACCAAAACAGTATCAATAGTATGTGTGTGTGGCTATCTTGTTTTATTTTATTAAGTTATAAATGTGTACAAAATTGAGGTTATATGCAAAAAATGAATTGTCATATAATTTTAAAGAAATATTTATAATTATTTAATAATGTTTGGTCCCTTTAAGGTTTTTTATAATGTAATGATATGTTGACTTCGGTCTCTAAAAATGTCTGTTGTTTTTAAATTGTGGCAACCTTTGACTGGTACCAAATATCAGACCATGCATGAACTCTGAAAAGCAGTTCCAGTATAAACTTTCTGCAATATGTATTTTTTTTAAAAAAAATAGTAATAATAATAATTAAATGCTTCCATCTCTAAAGAATTCAGGTATAATCATACATTGGCTTAATTTATGAAGGAGGTACTGCTTTAATTGTAAATGAATATTGGGTTGTCTTTTTTTAACCCGGTAAAAATTAACTGGAAACAGATTGAACAGGCATTATTTTGAATACATTAGTCTACAATCCCTCCTGGAGGTGGGATCTAAAAATCCATGTGGACACTTCTGCTCTTAGCACAGAGCCTTTCGTCTTTGCCCTTCCCCAGGTTGCCCTCTGCACTGCAAAGCAATGTCCCTCAAGATTAGGGCCTTTAGTAGCAGGGTTTCCTGTCAAGCAGAAGAGACATCCCCTCTCTCCCACACATACATTTCAAACATACCTTTGTCTTAATCCCAGCCAGCTTCATCTGGTGAAATTCAAATGTTTCCCCCATGTTTTTCAATCTGCATTTGGGAAACAGTAAAACAGCCCTGCCTTGGCGCAAGGAAGATTCCCCAAGATGTGAGACAGTTCAGAATTGATCCATTTACCTGGAATCAGTAGCTTTCAGTTTAAGAACTCTTAAATTAATTTTTCAGGCACTATACATTATGTTACAATGCATTGTATTAAAGTGGAATAAGCACACGTGAATCGCTGCAGAGGCCCTCTGCAGTTCAATGCTGCTCCAGCATCTGGCAACATATAGTAGCTGAAGGCTGATTAATAGAAGACAATGTTTTCGTAAAGTCAGGCTCCGCTTTCCTAATTGAAAGACATGAATATTTCCGAAGCTCTTAAAATCAACCATCCAACATTTACCATTTATCTTTTTTTTTTTTTTTTTTTGCTGGTAAGCAATCCAAATTAGTTCCTTGGAAAGTAAGTGTCTAGGTCCCCAATTATTCTGTAGTCTTTGAGAATTCTTATTTAGACTCATGGTATATAAAAAAGCTCATTTGGCACTTTACACGAAACCCAGCAACCTGTAGCTTTGTGCATAAGCCCAAATGAAACAGGATGTGAGGATGTGAATGAAAGGTAGGGAGTACAGGAGCCCTTTAAAAGAAGGTATCACCTTGAAATTCATTGTCTTTCTAGCCTCTATTTTGATCTCCTTTGCGCTGTCTTTAGCTTGAGCTATGCGCAACAGTCTTTTCCATGGATTGTGATGCTGCTGAAATTAATGATAGTTATATGTACTTTTTGAACACCTAGTCAATAAGAAAACCGGGCAATTTTAGTGGCAGCTGATAGCTAAGACAGCCCAAAGAATGATTCTACATCCCCATGAATTATTCTTGACAAATTAATATAATTCATTTGCTCCTTAGCAAAAATTATTGGCCTTCTAAAGGTTAACGATCAAGTCCCCTTTTTTTATAAATAGGAGAGACTTCCCTGATGTGTAATTTTCTTCCAAAGATGGAAGTTGCTATTGATCCTATTTATTGTTTGCGGTAGCTTGAAGCATACCCTTGTCCATTGATTTTTATCTGTAAGATAAGTATGTTCATTTCAGCAGCACTTAAAAAAGCTAGTGTCTGGTTACACATTTCAAGTTGTTTGGAATATTGTTGATTAAAGAAACCAAAATAAGGACATGAATTGCCAGTGCAAATGCTGTTGTGTATTTAATAAAAGGTACTATATTTGTACATTATTTTTATTGCTGAGAAGGCCTTTTAAAAGATATACTATATGCATCTTAAATAATTTTGTAGGGATTTTTTGTTGTTGCTACAGGGGCTGCAGGCAGCAACCCAAATACATTTAAAAAGAAAGGAAGGAAGAAAGAAAGACATTCTTGTACAATTTCAATACTGCTTTATATTCCTGGATTTAATCCAGCATGGATCATTTTTTATATTCTGTTCTGTAGCTTCAGTAATGTTTCTATAACATATTTTGGGATCATTTGGGATTAAAACTCCAGATTGCTCAGGTGTGCAGTTTTACTTGCCCCAAAACATGTCCAGTTCATGCTCTTCTACTGTTGACCACAGCAATGAAATGGTTTGCTTTACAGTTCAGAGTAACCAAGAATAATAAGAGAGTCATAAGCACCTTTGTTATAAGCACAAGGCCCTTCTTTAGTGTCTTTCATGTTTTAAGTGTGCCTTAAAAAGCTCTCAGTTGGAAACATCTTTATCCATCTTGGGAGATACCTAATGCTTTGATGGCATCAAGAGAAAAATAAGCTAAAGTTCTCCTTTCAAATTCATTTTCTTTTCACCCAGGAAAGGAAAATGGGATGACATTAGCATGATGGGCTGTAGTTAGAATTTCAAGTCTAGAGAAAAAGTTGGTCCAGTTTATAGGGTTAAAATGCTTATGCAGACATTTTTACAGAGTCGGTACAAGCATTTACAGATAAATTTTTTTTAAAGTCTTCGCCCTTGGATAAAACACAGAATTCACCTGTAAACTTGGGCATGGTGAATCCAAAATTTATTGGTGCAAAATAGGCACTAGCCTATGAAAAACTACTTGTCACAGCATCTAGGAAGGTGGTCCATTGAATCTGACTCTAAGCTAGCAGTCCCTGGGCATGGATTTGCTGGTCATTATCTCCTCCCTTCTCCCCAGGCTTCATCAAGGAGAGATTTTTGCACTGTCAAGTTAGCCAGATAAGTTTTCCCTCCTTTCTTGCTGGAGCCTCCATTTCAGTCCCGGTGAAGTCATGCATCCGGACTGTTGAGAAAAAAAGCCATGAACAAAAGCAATAATTTAAACATAAATAAAATATAAACCAAAGGAAATACTGTTTTCTAAGAGCTTTATTTCTGTGATAACATTTCATTTCAGTATGTTTGACCTGTCATTTAGCCATTTATGTTTGTTGCAATATTTTAAATAGATCAGCCAGAAATCATATTTTACAGTACGTTTTGTTTCCTAGGTACACTAAGCAATATTCCACAGTATTTTTTGCTTAAATATGTTTTACCAGTCTTGAATTTCTGCTGAAGCAAAATATTTGTAGCATTTCCTGTAAATACAAGCTTTAATTTCTTTCATTTTTCCCCAATTGCTGTTGTCCAAGAATTGCTTTCCATGCACAGATTCTACAAACACATTCTTTTTTTTTTTTTTTTTGTGCCGCAGACAGCGATTGTGGAAGGGAAGGGTTTACTTTATCTTCAAAGGGACTGTGTGTATTGTATGTTGCAACTGTAAATTGAATTTGTTTGGCATTCTCTCATGATTGTAATATTAATTTTGAGGTTTGAATCTCATTTTCAATAAAGTGGCTTTTTTGTTATGGTTGTTCCTTGCTTCTTTGTCTTCTGCTGCATCTCCATAATTATCTCTTTCATATTTGTAAATAGTCTAGAGCTCACTGGAGCCAGAGTATTTTGAAATACCAAACTGCATATTGACAGCTCCTTTAACTTCTGCAGGATAGAAACTGCTATTTTAAAACAGCACACGCCTAATCTTAAGCGTGGTTATATGAAACTCCAAGGGTCCCTGGTTAATGGTGTACATCTAACATTATCTGTATCAAAATAAGAGCTTACTTAAATAAATGAAAAAAGAAGAAGGGGGGAGCAGGGTTTGAGGTATTCAGCACTGTTGCTGTGGAGGAAAAAGTAGAAAGAAAGCATAAGCAGTAGAAGGTAACCATTCTCTCAAATAATATCTGTATAGTATTAAGTTCTATGTTGGAGTCACTACCACAGTAAGAAATTGTTTCTTTTCTTTCTGTTTTTTTTAAAGCAAGGATACAGGAAAAATGTCACTGTGAAGTTTTCACTAAGGCCCTATTATTTGGTGTGGTGTCATAATTTTTGCAGTGGAGAAATGAAGGGTAGGGGGTATTCTGAGGGCTTACATTTATCCCACACATGTGCTATCAAAAGGAGTGTAACGTACGCATTACATTGTTTAGCCCAAGTATGTCACGGTTGAGAAATATAGCCCCCCCCCACCCAACCCTTAGCAGTCCTAACCACTTGGCCAATGGACAGAAATGCTGGGAGTAGCAATACATAAAGAGCCACAAAGTCTGCATCCATGGTAAGACTTGAAATTGCAGGGTTAATTTTTTTTTTCAATAAATGCATTTTTCCCCAGTGATGAGAAGTCAAGATATGCTTTTAATAAATTAATAAATATCGACAGTGATGTCAATATGATGATACATAAAATGAATAAATGTCATGAGCTCAAACAATAATAGTAACTAAAGATTGATAGTTTATTTCTGGGTGAGAGATAAAGGCAGATAGCTGTTAAAGTATTTCAAATTGATTTTTTAAAAATCTGAGAACTTCCTAAAGAGGGCGGATTTGGCTTTAAAACCATGGAAATTCACTGATTAAGTACCTGAATAATGGGTGGAACATCTTGACTGTTGCTTCAAGTACATTGGAATAGGAAGCTGGAAGCTCACAACTCCAGAAAGAGACCAAGACAGCAAATAGGAATAGGAGTACTGCAAGGAAACAAGGGAATTTCTAATCATGAAGAAAGGATGCATATTGAGGGTGACTTGCTTTGTGTATAATATCAGTTGCAAATGGATACTTATACCCTTGCAGCAGGAGTTGCAGCGCCCTAGAGTTTCTCCAGGGGTAGAGGGGGCAATAGGAGGACTCCAAGAAGGAAAAGGCATTACAGTGGAAATAGTAAGTACTTGGAAGCATAAAATATGAGTGGACAAACAAGGGGAGATCTACTCTAGACCACTGGCCTGATTAAGTGGTTCTGTTTCTAGACATGGAAGGCATACTTCACCCACCTGATGTGGTGTTATTAGTATCACAACAAGGGAAAG